TAAAGGGACAGTAGAAAGTGAAAATAAAGCCACAACAAGACTACATTTGTAAGTGGAGCCTGCTCCCCATACAAGACTCATCCTCTGTTTTCTAGGGACATCAGCTTCTCCAAGGGAGCAGGTACCTCACAAAGTTAAGAATTATTAACACAGTGGAAAAGGCCAAGTTTTGTGCTTGAAGGAGTCTTGTTCCCTGGTTAGCTAGAGAAGTGGAAAGAGGTGATAAGAAAAATCAGAAGGAAGTTCAAAAGGACAGAGAGGTTGTGGTGGTGCTCACCCAGCTCCCCTGTTCATGCCCTACTGCTCTGAGATCCAGCATCCTCTGTCTGTATCATTTCCTGTCGCTCCAGACCTCCCACAATGCTAGTTGAGGTGAGTTCAGTGAACCAAGGCCCCTGGTCTGGCCTCCACCCAGATATTGCTGGAGCAGCAGAAGAAGCAGGGGGTGTTGCTGAGAGAGCAACCCCCAAAAGGGAAGAGATAGGTATTTGCATGAGTGCATGTCTGTGAGACATAAACAGGATGAGAGGAAGTGGGAGTAAGGTTGACAAGCATTGCCAAATCTCCCCTGTTCACCAGGTTCAGCTTCAGATGAAGAAGGAGGGGGAGAACTGTGGGCGTCCAATACATGCTGGCTTAAATCTGGCCAGAAAGGTCAGGGTCAGTGGGAACCAACTGGCCCTTGTCAGGACGTGCAGGGGGCTCTTCGTATTCTTTTCCAGCTGAAGGGCAATGGTCAGACCCTGGAAAGACCCACAGCTTCTATTAGCCATTCTGGTGGCCCTGGTGGCCCTGAGCCACCAAGTAAGGAGGAAAACCTTTATGAGTGTCCAAGAAGTGCCTGCATTGGAAACCTGTGTGATAGCCACCATGCAGTTCGTGACCAATGAGTTCAACAGGGAAAGTGATGACAAGTACAACTTCCGGATTGTCCGAGTCTTGAAGGTCAGAAAGCTGGTAAGTGGGCTCCTCTCACTTCTCTTCATCATACCCCTATGCCAGGGGACCACTGGCACTCTAGGGCAAGTCCACTTACATGTAATTCAGCCGCATTTAGTGTGAAATGTGCATTTGAAGAGAAACACAAATTCACTGGAGGAGCTAAAGTTAAGTCACCTAAATGGTGCCCAATACCAGGGGTCAGTATATTGTGGCCCAAGGTCAAAGTCTACCCACTGACACTTCTGTAAGTCATTTCATAGGCTTCAAATCACACCATGTGTGTCACGTCATGTGGAGCTGCTTTCTCACTGCAATTGCAGAGTTGAGTACTTGCAACTGAGGCCATGGATTGCAAAGCTTAAATCTTTACCCTCTGGCCCTTTATAAAGTTTACAGACCCTGTACCAGAATGATTGGCATCATTTGGGTTCTCCAATGAATGGTTTTGCTCATAGAGTGGTTTCTAGTGATATCTCCTCTAATGACAAAAGAAGGCACAAGAATCAGATAATTAAAGAATTCCACCATTCTGTCCAGGATGGGGTCCTTGACATTTCCCACTCCCAAAAGCTATGGAGAAGAAGAAATCCTTTTATCTCCTTGCCATTTGTTTCCCACAGATTACAGACCACATGGAATACCACGTGAACTTAGAGATGCGGAGGACCACCTGTCAAAGGCTAGAGACCAAAAACTGCACCTTTCAAGAAGGGGAGCTTTACAAGGTACTGGGTGAAAGCACATTAACTCAGAAACAACTCATTTTTAAAAGGGAGTTTCTGTGGTTTCTAGAATGATGTGGGATAGAATTATTGGGGATATATTTAAGATTGCTTAAAAAGAATGCAGGATAACAAACACCTGCTTTTTTAAGACAGAACAGCAAAAGTGAGAGTGACCCAGATCCTGTTGCTGGAAAAATAATGGGGTGGTTGAAAGGGTTTCGAAGGGGGAGCTAAGTGGCTGAGCTGCAAGGAAACATTCTGGCGATGAGGGAAGTAGTTAATTATTAACAATATTTTAGCAGTCAGTGGGATCTCACTGGAATGCCCAGATGAATATCTGAATATCAGCCTGATGTTAACACACAGTCATTGGGCTACTGGCCTCTGTTCCTTTCATCCAGGAGTGTTAGGGCAAATAGGGAGAGAAGATAATTTAACTGGTGGTGGGAGTGGGTCTGGGTGTGGGAGGTCAAACCCCTATGTGTGTGATCTGCTGTGCCTTAGTTCCCTACACCTTCATTCCCACCCAGTGTTGTCATGCCTGATGGAGGCTGGCTGGACTATCATGTATAGAGGCCTGCAGTGTGCACAGTCAGGACAGGCCCACATGCATAGGGGTCTTGAAGATCTCACAGCCTACGAGTCTGCACATCACTTCACTTTGCCCAAATAAGTTAAAATAAGGATGATCTTATGCCCCACACTGCCTGAAATATTCCTGATTTATACCTACCTTCTTAGTGACTTCATTAGTGTCATTCCCATTTGATTACAACATGTCCTGGTTCATAATTTATATGATAAGCCTAGTTATAGTGGCCTAAGTGTTCTCAGTGTAGAAACATGTTCTCATGAGCTCCCTCCACACTCTCTTCACAAATAATTCTCCTCTGGAGAAGATCATGAAATGCATGAGAAAAGTAATTAAAGATAACTGTAAAGTAACATTAGAGGATCTTTTTGATGTGACATATTTAATGGGTGGACTTAGTATTCTGATTTTTATTTTAGGGGAAAAGTAAATACAGGGGTGTGCAAAAGTAGGATTACACGTGTGAGTACATGAAACATAGTTTATTCTTGTATTTATTAATTGTTGTATTATTTATTTGTATTACAATGGTAAACTTACATTTACCCACTTCTGTAGTTAAGTTTTCTACCACCATTCCCATTGCCCACCCTGGACCTTTCAATAAAGAGCATGAGAACAAAATGACACTAAAAAAATGGTAATATGCAAAATTTATTTATTGATTTTTCCTTAAGGGGAAAGAAGGGAGTGAAATAGAAAAAGAAAATCTTGACAGAGGATAGGGACAAGGGAAGGGGGAGAGAATGTGATGACTGAGTGTGTGGATAGACAAATGAGAATGGAAGGAAGGAAGGAAAGGTGAGTGAATTAGGTGAAAAGAAGGTAAAAGAAAGGAAGGCTAAAAAGATAGAAATGAGGATGGAGATGGGTGAGAGGATGGATGGATGGATGGATGGACGGACAGATGAATGGATGAAGCATCGGTGAATATGAGCAAGGTAGACACTTTATTTCTAGTCTCCAAGTTTAAATACAAATAGAATGACATATTCTGGGATGATCTCAGCCATAAAATTATCAAGTGATTAAAATCAAAATAAAGATCAAACCATATCTGAATAGGAAGTGAGGTAGCGCCATTTTCCCCATGCACAGTTATTATATCCTCTTCTTCCCCCTTTAAAATTTTCACCTTGTATATTATCTTTTTAAAATATTGTTTTTGTTTTTGTTTTTTAGCAAATTGAGTGCTTTTTCTCAGTGTTTGTTGTTCCCTGGTTCGAAAAGTACAAAATTCTAAACAAAACTTGCACCAATGATTAAGTGTCCTGGAGCACACACCTGAGGTCCCTGCATGTGAAAGTACCCTGCAATAATAGTGATTCTCAGAATGGAAAATAAATTTTTCACCTATTCTCTCTATGTGTATAATTCTACTTTTTTTCCCAAAACTCTTCAGTTCATAATAATGTAATCTGAAAATCCTCTGGACCAGGGAAGTTTTGGGGTCAAAATGAGGTGACATGAAAAATTCCTGGCTTTAATAAGCCTATTTAACCGACATGATAGCAGAACTTCAACCCCATCCTCATACCAGGTAGGATTCTTTAGATTTTTAAAACAAAACAGAGAAAAGGGGAAGAAGCAGAGGAAGGAGAAAAGAAGCTCTAAGTTACTTAACTGAACAGCCAGTAGACATTGGCAAAACACAGAGAAATAATACAAGTAACTAAAAGAAACTAAAAGAGACTGAAAGAGATAAGGGGCCTTTGTTGCTGATACGGACTTTGTTGCTGTTGGGAGATGTGCCTTATTTTTATAGGCAAATGCACTTTCTAATACCAAACTCTAGAATTAGACTTATATCCTTATCATCAGCAACACTGGACCACATCAGGTCTCTTCACAAAGAGATTCCTCTCCCAAAGTTGCCAAGGAAAACGTGTGCCCCCAGTGGGAAACCTGGGCTACAATGTCCATGTTTTCCTCCAAAATAGACCAGTTAGAGTAATTCTTCCAGGAAAGAAATGATTGAGACCAGAGAAACTGAGAATGCTATGTTATGGGGCCCCTCTTCCCTGGATGGCACATTAGCAATGGAGAATAAGCATCACCCTCCCAACAGTGTGATTCAGGATTTTAAACAAAGTCACCAGGCTCATCTCTCCACTTTACTTTCTCCTTTTGCAAATGTTCTCTGTGTCCTTTAACTGTAATGTATCACAGCCATGAGCAGGACTCTATGCTGCATCCGGGAAGTTCTTCTAGTGAATCGCTGATCCTAGGGGTTTGGTATTGGAAACCTTGGACACACTAAAAGACATGTATCAGTAACAGAGTTGTATGTGTATAGGGAAGAAACAGAGCTCCCCAAACTCAGGCCAGAGGTTGGGATGTGCCTGAATAATGAAAAGCCTCAGAGATATGGGCTGAAGTAGAAAAAATTATGTGATTCCACCAAAGATTTAACAACCTTCTTGCTCAAATTGAACGAGCCCCCTAAAGACCACTGAGTATGTACATGAATGTGAGTGTGAGTGACAGTGTGTATGTGTGAATGCATGTTTCGGTCTATGTGAGTGTGTGTGTGTGCTGTGTAAGTGTGTGAAAATGAGTAAGTGCAAGTGCGAGAGGGTGAGTATGAACATGTGTGTTTGTGAGTGAGTGTCAGAGTATGAATGTATGTGTGTATGTAGTGATACCCAGCTGAGGGCAATGATGTCCTTCCAGAAGTCTATAATAGAAAGTGCACAGCACAGCAATCTAAGGTTTCATCAGGGATCTTTGCACAAACCTATTTAGGCCTCCAGACAAGAATTGTTCCAAAGTTGGTAATAGTTCATCCAGGGCACAGTGTACATCAAAAAATTGCAAACAAAACTCTGTGGAAAGAGAAAGTCAAATTCAGCTTTCAGGAGAATATTTTTTGAAGGCAAAGAAAAAGTTCCTGCCCCCTGAGGCCCTCACTGGAGAGTTTAGAACCAGCACTGAGGCTGCATACTGATGATGTGGGTGGGGAGAATCTGCTCAAAGTCGATTGGTGAGGGTAGAGGGGGTGCCAAGCCCCAGAAAGGAATGTTACCCCAGGTTCCCCTTGCCTAGCTACTTAGGACCTGGAACAAGCATGTCTTGAGAGCCCTCCTCCAACCCCAGTCCTCCGGCACTTGCACTCAGGCACTGGGAGACCCTCATATTTGCCATCAGGTGGGGCCACCAAGAGAAACCAGGAAAAGAATGGTCAGATTCTGGAAGATAAGGAAGCAACTGGACAATCCTCAGGGCAAGTCAAGATCAGAACAAAGTCCCTGAGGAAAGAAAATGCTTCCATTGAAGGCCAGGAGTGGGCAAGGATACCTAGAGACCTGGGGCCAGCCTGCATCAGTCTAGAGATGGGGAACTGCCCAATTATAGAGCCTTCTCCCTACCCCAGCACCTCAGATGACATCAGCAGCCTTAGGGCTTGTAGCCTTGCTCTGCTCCAATCCATGGAGATGGAAAAGTCATCAATGTCCAATTTGTGTTAACTTTTAAATTTTTTAGTTTTCTCCCCGTGATTAGGAGTCCCTTCTCAGATGACTGCCACCACATACCTTTTTCAAATTCTTTGTGCTTTGAATGGGGCACAAACGACTTTTTGTGCTGTTCTTCTTGCACTTGGTCCGGCTAATCTTCACAGTGACCAGATACTCCACTCCTGTTGTCAGCTACCAAAAATCAATAGCACTGTCAATTTTGACTCAAACCTCCAGGAAAAGCTAGGATGGAGAGTAAAGCACCAGGAGCCACAGTCCTGGTGTCTGGATCATCCACCAAAGCATAATTCACTCCTCTCCCTCTTGCTGTAGGATGCACAGTGGCACCAAGACCCCTGACAGTGCATGTGCAACAATCCTACCTTGCTCTGCACTTGATCCACTGATGCAGCCACAGATGGGCCTCACCTGTCCTTCATGCATCCCCAGGCAAGGGAAGCAACTCATCAAGCTTGGCTGCCTGGCAGCACCAGAGCACCTCCAGATCTGCATGCATGCAATGTATAGAGTCAGCAGTGTCTTACCCTCTGCTCCTCCAGTCCCGTCAACCATGTCCTCCTTCCTACTCTCTTTCCCAACCAACCTGATGGGAGGCAGTCAGCAACACAGCTCAAAATATAACTTAAGATATTGAACTGATTTGGAGCATGTGTTCCCCATACACTAATGCTGTGACCTTGAACAAAAGCCTAGCAGCCTTGGTTTCCTCACTTACAGAGTATAGATAATCCTGTTCAAGAAGTTATTACATGGGTTAAGAGAAACATGCATTTCACTGAATGCACAAAATACATTTCAAAGTAACTAAATAATCATGAACTATTAAATGTTTTAGCAAGTGTCAGAAACATTGCTCTGAAGCAGCAAGGGAACTGGGAGAGTGTCAGAACAAAAGACAAAAGAACTGTGCTCAAGTTTTGGCTTTACCCCCCGCCAACTCTATTACCCTGGGAAAGTCTTTCCACCTACCTGGGTCTCAGTTTCCTCATCTAGAAAATGGGGAGAATAGTACCAATTTCCTCCTATGATGTATGCAAATAGTGAACATGTAAATCATGAAGAGGGCACACCAGAGCTACTTCCTGTTTTTGTGATTTGTTTTCTTGTGTTCAAGTGCAAGATCTGAAGACGCGAGGGCAGAAGGCTGGGAAAGCCCTTGGTGACAGGTAAGTGCAACACCCAGAAGTAAAACTAACAAATAGCTTGTTGTTGGAAACTGGGCTGGATTTCCCAATAACTGTGTGGACTGCAGAGTTCTGCGTGGTGATGGGAGAAATTCTTAGAAGTTCTTGCTTCCTTTCCAAATGCAGTGGCCAAACAACATACAAAGGCTTGTACTCTCTGGAGTGGTAATAGAGGGAGAGACTGCTCACACTGCCTCTGGGAGGTCAGTGTCCCTAGAAAACCTTAAGGCATTCAGTGTGGCTGAGGGAAGAGGCCTGAGGGAAGGACCATCATCCCGGTCCCTGCATCCAACAATAACAACGGCAACAACAAAGCACCTCAGGATCCAGGGCTCTTGAATTCTTTATCAAAGGACAGTTCTATCCAGGCTTTGGCATCTTGCAGGGCTTAAGCCAAACACTGTTTCACTGACCTTCAGCACATTCTGTATGTATAAAGACACTAAAACACTAGCTGTAAATTTAACTAACATTCTAGTGAATGTACTGTTTTCTTATTCATTATTAGACTTGACTATTAAATAACAATAGAGATAATCATAATAATTCAAATATTTTCATAAGTGCTGCTTCACTCTTATCCTGACCACTTTATAGGTAGGAAACTGAGGCCTGCATAATATGGATGGCACTCGACCCAAATCCCACAATTAGGATGATCTGGACATCAAACCCAGAAGGTGTCCACCTCCTATGTCCTTCTGTAAGGTATTAGGACAAACACAGTCATGCAGTAACAGGTGTGGGGATGCCCAGGAATCCTTGCCCCAGATCACCCAGCTTACCAAGGGGTATATTCATTCTGTCTGTTCATCCATTTGAATGACATCAAAAGTTTGCTTGCAACTCTTCCAGAGGTAACAGTTAATGACAAAGGATTAAGTCCACAAGACAGGACTCCTTGGATTGTCAGATTTATCCTTGGGAAGACAAGAAAATAAGCCAGCTTCCACAAGAATTTTGGCAAAGACTGCCACCTTGTGACCAAGTCACCTCAATATCCTCAGCCTTGACAAGCATTTTGTGGCAAGTGTGAATTACTGAGAAAGAACTCACTGATGCCCACCCATTGTGACACAATGCCTATTTATGTCTCATTAACACTGCCCATGCTTCTCTGCCCCCTGCCCTGGCAGTTCTCTCCTGTTCCCATTGCCCCTCTCTAGTCCAGCAATTTTCAACCAGTGTGACATAACAGACAACTTACTTAGTGTGCTGCAAGAATTTTTAAAACCTGTAATACCCAGCATTTAGTCAGGGGCACTGATCTCTTTTCCCTTATATTGTCAAATTTAAAAATGATGACGCCAATACAATAATAGCCCATAGCTTATGTAAATTCTTTCAGAAGGCTTACCTCTTTCTTTCCCCTTTCCTTACTTGATATGTAAAAATGCTTACAAATTCCAAAATAGTGGACAAATATGTCTTTTCTACCAAGCCATCTGCTAGTGGATTGGACTTCATACCCCAAGATTGGTATTATTTTTGGTTAGCATTTTTTCCCTCTCAACCATGGAAGTTAAAATTTCTGTTTTTAACATTCCTATCTGAACGTTAGGGGAGGTTAGACAAACAAAAGTGATTTTCAAACAACTTTTCCATCTTCTATCATCCTCCAAATGATATCAGAAACTTTTATAGACAAAACAAATGAGATGATCTGATTGAAACCTAGCCCTTACCCCCTGGTCTTGTCCTGCCAAAAACCCTTTTTATAATTTCAGATTTCTGTAGAGCACAGCTAGAAAGTCCAGACTTAGATTTTGCAGCCCTGGTCATTGAAATATTATTGTTGAGGAGAACGTACAATTTATAGAGAACATTTATAGAGAACAATTAGAGAGAACATTTATACTTTGCCAGTTGAGGCTATTAAAGAAAACAAAAACACTGGTCAATATGGTGGCACAGGTAAATGTGGTACTCAAAACTTGCCACAACTATGTCAAAATTACAACTGAATTACAGGACAATCATTTTTCAGAATGCCTGAAATGTAACCACACAGAAGTCCTCTAACTAAGGCTATAAAGAAGCCACATCAAGATTTGTAAGAGGGGTGGAGGAGCAAAATAGACTGGTGCCACACCCATGTGTGACAGTTAAATTGGGAGGGATATCTTGGCAGCAGAGATCCCTCTGAGGAGCCAGGGGTCCCAGACCCACACCAGGCTCACCAGCCCAGGGTTTCAGTGCCAGAAAGAGAAGTCCCCATAACTTCTGGCTGTGAAAACCAGCAGGGGTTTTGGCTGAGGGAGATGGAGGGATTCTGGATTTTCAGGCATTCTTCTTAAGGGGCCCATGCATAGATTTCCACAGACTCACTTGCTCAGAGCTTCAGGATTGGGGTAGCAGCTTAAAAGGCACCAGGAACATACAGGGAGAAACTGAATTGTCTGGTTTCAAGATCAGGACAAGAGGGGCAGCTTTCTGCCAGAAAAAAAGTACTAGCAGAGTCCACTGTTCCGTTGCTGAGACCTCCCCGTACAGAGCCTGCAGATGGGTACCATACCTGAGTCTCCATCAGCCTGTCTAACACTAGTAATATTCTGAGACCTCGGCCCATCCAACTTTTGGGTCCACCAAAGCTGTTTCCAGTGACTTTTCCATATAAATGGCCTTTCTTTGCTCATGTTTCAGACTTTCTTAAAATCTCTCAGACACGAAGTGTCTGGCCACCGTGGGCCCTGTACATCTTGCTAAGTGGCGCCAAGCTCAGCACAACTACCAGATATCTGCAGATCACTCTGTAGCTCATTCTGGGTAGCCCCAGGCAGAGTGGAGGTAGTGGCTGACCTTGCACCTCCTGGGAGACCCCACAGCCACTGCAGTAGGTGAACAGCTTTAGGCCATGCCAGATTACAACCCAACCTCCTTTACAAATGACATAGTCAAGGGTCAGACTTGGCACACACCAAAGCCCCACTGAAGAAAATCCTGATCTGTGGGGTTGGACCCTGCACAGCAGCTCCTCCACTATGGTCACAACTTTTACTTGCAGTCAATTTACCTGGGGGCCAGTCCCTCCCAGTAACATGCCAACAGCAATCAAGTCTCACTACAGCATGACAGTGCGCACAGCCCACACAGGGGACACAAAGAGCACCCACCTCAGATGGGGAGGCCGTTCCACTGGACTGTACAGGACACCTACATTAGGCCACTCTACTAAATCCAGGAAACATAGCAGTTCTACCTAATACATAGAAACAAACACAAGGAAGAAGCCAAAATGAGGAAACAAAGAAACAGTTCCCAAATTAAAGAACAAGAGAAATTTCTGGAAAAAAGAAATAAATGAAGTGGAGACGATCAAGGTATGAAATACAGAGTTCAAAACAATGGTTATAAGGACACTCAAGAAACTTAGTGAGAATTTAAATAGCATCAAAAAGGACAGGGAAACCATTAAAAAGAATCAATTAAAAATAAAGAATACACTAATTAAATTAATATATTAGAGGAATATAACAGTAGAACAAATGAAGCAGAGTATTAAATCAGCAATATGAAATATAAGAAAGCAGAAGTCACCCAATCAGAACAGCAAAAAGAAAAAAGAATCTCAAAAATTGAGGACAGGGAATCAAGAAGGTGGAGGAGTGAGAGGAAGTTACACTGACCTCCTCTCAAGACCAACCTGGAATTCCAACTGAGTTGGGGAGAAATCAGCTGGAACAAACAACTGAACAAGAGTGAGAGAGGAGCCTTGTAACCTCGGAGACAGAAGAGTAGGCTTTAGCAAAATCTAACTGGTAAGAAGTGAGGTGCAGACCTGAGAAGGTGGGCAGGGTGCCCAAGGGTGGCAGCACCAGAAGGATATTGAAATGGCCAGTTGGAACCCCCTGAGAAGAGTGGGGTCTAAACCAAAAGCGGGGCTCTCCAGCCTACACCAGAGCCCAAAAAGTACACAGATAACAGCCAGTTGTGAAAAGGGCAGGGCTGTTCTCTGACAGAGACAGACAGCTGGAGACGCAAAGAACT